ATGTTATAATCTTCAGCTGATGAAACAGTCTTAGCTTATTGTGCCAGTCTACTAGTAACTTTTTCTGATTTTTTTTTTTTTTTGTAATGTTGAAAGACAGTGCTGGGAAGAGTTAGAGTAAGATTGCACTTATTTCCAGACAGGATATACTAGAATACAGTTTCGAGCAACTTTTTGTCTTCATTTATAGTAGGTAAGTCCAGGATTCAATCCTGTCTCCCTTGACCTGTCAGCTCAAATGGAGAGAAACATCCCTCAAAGTCAATAGCAGCTGCAGGTCATGCACCCCTGAGGCCTGGCTTTAATCTCACCATTTCTGTGCACCAGAAGAACATAAAAGCAAGGTACAAAACCAGCATGTGCACAGGACAGTTAACTTCTCCATAAGTAGGCCAAATGGTTCAAAGTCACTGAAAAGGATTAAGGCAAGAGCTTGAGTCTCTGCATGAGGACTACAGGCATCAAGCTGGGCTGCAGAGGACTAGGCTTGTTGTCTTTGCCAACTATCAGATCACATTGGTGTCAGTTCCTCATGACTTCCCCTCTCCCTACCAAAATTCCCTGCTAGTCCCACAATCACCTGAAAATGCAAAGACAGAATGTTTCAATGAGCTGGAGGCAAGAGAAGCTGGCCACTTCTGAAAGACCTATGACTTCTCACATCATCAGATAAGAGCCTCCTCTGGGAAATGCAATTTTTTTATTCACTTTATCCCTCCAATGCATTGACTCCATCGATTCATGGCAACTTTCCAATGCACTGCTTAGTTTTACTGCCAAGTCATGATCATGCTGGGGGACAAATAAGTAAAGTCTATTAGTAAGAGAAAAATACTGCACAGAAAACCAAACTCAGGAGAGCTACACGATGGATATTGTGGCAAAATTCAAAGCAGCAGCAGATTTTTTTCTTCAGATGGGCAATAATGCTCCTCCAGCTTTCTCCCATATATTTCTGATGCTCTCCAGGTATGCAACCAGAAGGAATGGGAAGTAAACTCTCTCTTTGCCCTGAATGCTTATGTCTGATTAGGAGCAGCTGAAAAAAATATACTTGCTCTGCCTGCCTTACTATCCCTTTGTTCATTCCTCAAGTTTTTGTCCAGATGCATCTTCTATTTAGTGCTTGCTTCTTGCATTCTTTCTCCCAATTCCAAAGAATTGCCATTTCCGGGAATATCTTTCTGTGTACCCCTGTTAAGGGCTGAAGTTCTTATGTTAGCTGGTTAGTTTTTTTGTTAATCTATTTGCATTTTCCTCTCATTTCCTACCCCAAAAAATTCAGCTTGTCCTATAGGTGAGCATTCCTCAGTTCTGACCTGGATAACACTAATTTTCAAAACACTTTCAAGAAATTACTTCATTTTCTCTTAATCCAAAAATTTACCAACACAATTTCAAGCTTGTTGCAAACCAACAAAACTTTGCTAACCTTCCTTCTACAATTTCATGCCAAAAGGCTCTCTTGGGAAGTCTCCAGCAAAATTGGAGACATTCTCAAAATACATCCTAAAACACATCCCTATCTTTTTATGAATGAGGAATTAGGGGCACAGAGACAAAGCTACCATACTACAGCCACAATGTACATCTGTGACAGAATGGAGCAGAAAATGGGAGCAACTGGGAAGTGGAGACAGAAGATGTAGCACAGAGTCCTACTGTGCAAGTTTTGGTTCTAAAAGATGCTGTGAAAAGGCTCTAAACTTAGTCATTTTGGTGAAGTCTCTGCTCTTAAACACTAGATACAGCCAAAGCTGGATATCTGCGCAGCTCAGCTATCCTGAAACTCCCATCTCCTGAAGCTGACTTGTAACTTGGCTACCGATTCTTAAATACGGCTGCTGACTGCTGCTTCCACCTTCTACTGCAACTTGCCCTCCTGCCTAGACTACCAGGTCAGGCTGTCTGTAACACCAACATGCATAAAATAAAATGAGACTGTGTCAGAGATTTAATTTACTCTCCCTTTGCTACTGCAGGCTCCTCCTTACAAAGCTCCTTTGGTTTCCATTTCTCCCTTTGAAAGACTGCTCTAGAATCTCACTCCTCTAGTGGTTGAAAATCTAATTTCCAGTCTAAGTTTATTAATAGCAAATTTGTACCAATTTGTCCTTGTGCTAGCATTGATCTTTATTATAAAGACCTTTTCTTCCCCTCTAGTATTTACTTTGCAATGAAGTGTTTACAGAGAGACATCACATTCCTCTCCCTGTCTTTGTTTTGCTAGGCAAAACAAACTCATCTCTTTAGTTTTCTCTCATCTGCTAAGCTTTCTGTCCCTTACTCATCTCCCTAGCCCCATTCTGCACCTGCTCCTGCGTGAGCACATTTTTCTGACAGAACCGTACACAGTGTTCTTGGCACACTCTTGCACCTTGGTTTTAAACCTCCCTATTTGTAGCAGAGCTGTCTCCTTGAAACTATCCTACAACCATATCAGCCCTGACACTTCTCCGCCATATGTTCCTATCGCTATCAAAGTTCCTCCGCTGCCTCCAGCAGCCTCCTCAGTGCTCAGCTCATTCCCTCCTCTACTCCCACCTGCCAGTACCTCGTGCACACCATTCCCACACTGGCTGAGGACGCACACAGCCCGAAGCTGTGCCAGCACTCGGTCACGCGCTCTCCACACTTCCGTAGGGCTCTCCCACACACGCTGCAGGTACTAGTCGCGCTGCCCTGCTCCCCAACTTTAAAACAAGCAAACTCCCACAGAAGATTCCCCTGATCCTATGCCTCCTGGGCCTCCTTCCCTTGGTGGTAGACTCTTCTGAACACCACTGACTCTCTGGCTTTCAACCCTGGATCTTCTGTGGCTCAGTCAGTGGTGACAGGACGGAGCCTCCCTTAGGCCCCCATATGTAAGACCTCTGTCCTATTCAGAAATTCCCTAGACTCTACAAGCTCCAAAATACAGCCAAACAACCTCTTCAGAATGGTCAGATACATCCACTGAATTTTCCCTGCTGCCATGAACAACAGGAACATCCTTTTCTTAACATGGGTGAGTTCTCCTCAGGCTTCCCTGCTAATGAAACACCAGTTCTGTACTCATGGGCAAAATT